CTTACAGCACATCTCAGTTCAGATTAGCCGCATTTCAAATGCTCGTAGCCACATGTGACTAGTGGCTGCCTGATTAGACCTTGCAGGTCTAGAACCCCACTATTTCAGACCTTCTCTGGATTTAGACTTTTATTTCAGAGCTTTCCTTGGGGTATGAGGTGGAAATAATATGGGATTGTTCCTCCCAAGGGCCTCATCGTAATTGTTTTGCTACTTCTCTGTTTTTATAGAATATTTTCTATTTAAAGCAGATGGTGGTTTTTGTGTGCAGGTTGACAAGCTGCCCAACAACCACCGTTTTTGTTATTTTTTCTTATTGCTTTATTAGCCATTCTTTACATGACCACCATTTTTTAAAGCAAACATTTTATTGAAGTATGATATGCCTACACAAAAGGGCACAAATTCTAAGTGTATAGCTCGATGAACTTTTACAAAGTAAACACCCCCATTATTTGTATTCACGAAACAGAACGTTACCAGTATCCCAGAAGCTCCTGCTTTGTGCCATCTCCCGGTTGCTACCCCTAGAGCAGAACCCAAATTATAACACTATAGATTAGTTTTGCCTGTTTTTGAACTTTATATAAATGAAATAATAAGTATATACTTTTGTGTGGCTTGTTTTGCTTAAAATTATGTTTGAGAGAGTCACTCATGCTATTGAATGTAGCTATGGTTCTTTTATTCTCATTGCTCTATAGCATTCCATCATGTGAATATACCACAATTCATCTGTCCATTTTATTGTTGATGGGCATTTAGGTAGTTTTCCATTTTTGGATAATTAGTGCTACATGTGAACATTTTTGTGCATATCTTTTAGTGAATGTTATGTTCACATTTCTGTTAACTGAGTTTAATTGCTTGCTGTAGAATAAGCATTTATCAGTTTAAGTGGATAACTACCAAGCAGTTTTCTAAAATGGTTGTGCCAGTTTACACTCAACTGAAGCTATGAGTTTTAGTTACTCCATGTGCTCACCACTTGGTATTTTTTGGTTTTGTCATGGTTGTTGTTGTTGTAGTCATATGGACATTCATCTGTTCTAATCAGGTCTTAAGCACAGATGTGTGGTGTCTCATTATGGTTCTAATTTGCATTTCTTTGATGACAAATGAAGTTGAACACTTTTTCTCATTTTTGCTGGTCTTTGGATATCCTATGGAGTGCCTGTTAAGTTTCTTGCCTTTGTATTCCGGATAAAAGTTCCTGTCATGTATGTGTATTATGGATACTATCTCTTCTCTCTAGCTTGCCATTCCACTCTCTTAATTATGTCTTCTGATTAAGTTATTAATTTTAGTGTAGTCCAATTTAACAAAAAAAAATTTTATGTTTAGTGCTTCTTTGTGTCCTGCTAGAAAAATCTTTGCCCGCCTCTAAGGTTATAAGTATATTCTCCTGTTTTCTCTCTAAAAGTATTTTTGTTTTAACTTTCACATTTAGCTCTGTAATCCATCCAGAATTAAGTAATTGTGTGAGATAGGGGGTTAAGCTTCCTTATTTTCCATATAGATAGCCAATTAACATGCAGTGCTGTGCCATCTCCATTGTAAATCAGTGACTTTCATATATAATTCTGTTCTGAGCTCTTTCCATTACAACTTTTTTTAAAGCAAAGTGGTTTATATGTGGGAAGTTCTTAAGATAAGAATTCTAGAGTTAAGTGGAATTAGTTTATTCAAGATAATCTAGGAAGCAGTATTAGGGCATTTATCTTTTTTTTTGAGTGTACATCTTTATCGGTAAATGATGTTTGAGCCTATATATGTATATATGTGTGTGTGTGTATATATATATATATATAGTATATGTATACTATATATGCACTACTGCTTTAATATGTTATTTTCATTATAAAACAAAATTGGAATTAAAAAGGAAATAATAAAACAGAAATAGCAATTCTAATATTTTCTTCCTATACCCCTATATCAGCCAAGATGGGCTGGGTTATGTGTGTTAACAGCCCTCAAATTTCAGTGGCTGAAAACAGCATCAGTTTGTTTCTCGCATGCTACATGTCCATTATGGTTTGGCTTCAGGGCTCATCTGCATTGTTCTTACTCTGGCACCCAGACTGATGGAGCAGCCACTTTCTGGAAGCTTGCTGGTCACAGGGACAGAGGAAAAGATAATGGGGAATTAGCCCTTAAATCTTCTGCCTAGGTGTGACACCTGTCACTTCTGCTCACATTTCATTGTCCAAAAAAAGTTACATGTCCTCACCTAATTGCAGAGAAGAAAAATCCTAATCTTGTGCCCAGAAGGAGAACTGGAAATATTTCAGACAGCCCTAAAAACTGTCACTGCTGAAATTACTGATTTCAGAGAACACAGCCATGGATTTGTGTTTGTCTAAGAAAATAAACACATAAAGACAAGTCCTTTTAGTTTTTTCTATTCCATTTTCTTTTTAAAACCCTACAGTCCTAAGAAATGAGGTTAGTACAAGTAAAGGCATAGTGATCTCTCTTGCTGAAAACCTTTTAACGGCTTCTCTTTGCTCTCATTACATAACCCAGACACCTAACGTGGCCACAAGCTACCTTTCCAGCCTCACCTCGTGCCATTCACACCGCACCTCCACCACGCTGGCCTTGCCATTCCTTGAAGGAGACATGTGCTCCCTACTTCTGTCTTGAGTGTTTTTCCTCCCTTTCTCCTTGTTTTTACCTGCTTATTCTTTAACTTTTAGGTAAATATTTCCTCAAGGAAATCCTCTGTGACGCCCAGGGTAGTTAGAGTCTTGTCTGTTCTCCACTCTCATAGTGCTCTGTACTTTGCTTTCAGAGAAGCTGGTCCAGTGTTTAAGGAGATTTTTGCACTATTATTTGTTCAGTCTATTTCTTCAGTTAGCGCACAGGCTCCGAGGGGGTAGGATCGAGTCTGTTTTGCTCACCACTGTGAGCTGCTCCTTGTGTAGCCCAGTGACTGCATATAATAGGAGCTCATTAAATATTGAGTTTGGTTGTGGTTTTATGTCTGTGACATTTTGTAGTCTATCTAGAGAATGTGCCTGAGACATTTATACAGTCCATAGAGAACAATTTGATGATAAAAAGTTAATCACACAAACTGAACGTACACTCTTGCTTCATGCCTCTCTGTGTCTTAGGGAGTCTGAGATTCCAAGTAGGAATGCTTTTCCCATTCTCTCTGGATTGGGATAACCCTCATCTAGATTTTAACGTTATTTAAGTGTTTTTCTTTTTCCTGTTTCTCGAGTGATATTTTTATGTTTAAGTTGAAAGCCCTACAGTCAAAGAATATATCACATTTAACATAAATGGCAGTAAAACTGACCAAGCAATAAGTGTGTTATATAGACATGATGAATAAACAAATAAGCTGTGTAATATTCAGCTGTGTTTTCTTATAGCTTTCTGGAGACGGTACTGAATTACCAAAACACAGTGTGATTTATTTTTTGTGATACTTCGCATCAGCAAAAGGGCGTATATTAGATGCTTGGAAAATGCTTAGCCACAAATTTATGTCCCTCACTGTTTGTCTTCATTTATGTGTGTTGTGGAAAACTTCGGTCTTTTCTGTTTCTCTTTTCAGAAAGAATAACAAATTTGATCACCTTCTTGTCTGTATGTTTCAGTGTGGGCTGTCAGTGCTATTCTTCATTTAAAATGCAAAATATTCTAATAGAATTAACTCCTATAATAATAATCTTATTGGTGAAATGGATAGGATGATACAGACATTGTTATCTCTAAGCCTCTGATAGTTGTGTTCCCCATTTTTATTCTAGAAGAGAACCACTGCTTCCCATCAGTAAGAAGGTAGGATTAAAAGGAAAATGAATAAGGATTATAGTTGTGCATCACTTAATGGTGGGAATAATTCTGAGAAATGCGTCATTAGGTGATTTCGTCATTGTGTGGCTGTCAGAGTGTAGTTACATGAACCTAGATGGCATAGCCTACTACACACCTACGTTATATGATACTAATCTTATGGGACCACCATCGTATATGTGATACATTGTTGACTAAAACGTTGTTATGTGGTACATGACTGTATATTTGCCAAGTCTGTCTATTTATTCAAAAAATGTTTATGAAGTATCTATTTTGTGCCAAAAGTTGGGGAAACTCAGAAAGAGATGGACACTTTCTATAAGACTTTAAATTTTTGTTTCAAATGACAACATTCTGCTAAGAGCTGAGTCTCAGTCTTTTGCTAGCTGTGTCAGTTTTCTCAGCTATAGAATGGGGATGATAAAATACCCATCTCATAAAGTTCTTGTGGGGAGTAACTAAGTCCATGCACTTAAAGCACTTACCCCAGTGCCTGGCATATAGCACACATTCAGTGTATGTTAGCTGTTATTTACTATGAGGCCTTCTCACAGCCTCTTAACTACTTATTTTTCTGGGTTTTTTTCCCGCTTATTCTTCCCATATTGCCATCAGAGTTAAATTTCTAAAACATAGATATGAGTGTGTAACACCACCTCTTTGATACCATCTTCTCGACTTTAACACCTTTTGGGGTTTTCTATTATCTCAAACACATGGATGGCATTTAGCATCTTACCGTCTGACCCTGACCTTCCTTACCAAATCAGCTTTTCCCTTGACCCCCCACTAGGCTGCAGCCCCAATAGGCTGCACACTTATATTTCTCTGTCTTGGCTTGTGCTCTTCCTTTTGCCTAGAATTCCTGCTGTAGGCCTCACCCGTCTTATCCTCAGCCTGAAGAAACAGTTCTCTATGAGCCACTCAGAGATTCCTCTTATTCTTCCCAGACAGAATTTTTGATCCCTGTCATTTATATTTCTTTAGCATTGATCGCATTATTAAAGTTAATTACATGGGTCTTGCTCTCCTACCACCTTGTGAGTTCCTTGAGAGCAGAGACCATAACTTGTTCATCATTGTATCACTAGAACCTAATAGGCACTCGGTGAAAACTTGTTGAAATAATGGATTGAGATTTGGTTTAATTTTGTTTTGATTTCAATGTGTTTTTTTTATTCTAGGTTCTGGGCCTTGTCCAAAATATGAGTGTTTTCCAGTGTCCAAAATGTAGACACAAAACTCATATTTTTGGTGCTGATGGTGCAAGGAGACTGGCACGGACCCTTGATCTTGATGTTCTCGGTAAGACCGTAGGATATTCTTTGGCAGAGGAAATGGCAGAAGGGAAAGTGGGGATAAGGCATGGTGATGAAGAGTGTTTCAGAAAATGATGAATTGTTTCTGCCTTATGTTCTAAATTAAGGTAGTATAGCGCAGTTGTGTGTGCTGTCCTTTCTTTGGCTTTTTGTAATGCTTCATTAGTGGAAGACTTTTTGAATAGGAGTTTTGTTCTGCCAATTATGATAACCTCTGTCATAGATAAAAACTTCTTATAACTTGAATTTGAGAAGAGAGTTTTGTGGTGAGTACTGTGATTTGAAGCTTCTGTTTTAAATAGTAGTCATCAGTTTGTTTGCTAAAGTGGGAACACATCTCTCAGTATAAACAGATACATGAAAATACCTGTTCAGTATGTTGTGGCAACCTTTGGAAGTGTCATTTCTCATTACATATGGAAAAATGCCTTCCTGATCAGTTCTGAATTTATCAGTCCTTCTGCTCTAGAAAGACAATATTTCTGTAATCTTCATCTATATGTTTGTCGTGCTTATCTGAAATTTATGTTGTATATACTGTTCACGTTACTGAATTGAAGGATTAATTAATGTTTTGAGAAGAAGTAACATCATATGTTAAGTGAGCAAAACACAGATTTTGGATAAAACATGATTTTTTTAAAAACCCACAATCAACTTAATGGACTTTTTAGGAAACATGTTTTAATGTTTTACTTATGAATGAGTTTCTGTTCTGGGCAAAGGCAGATGTTAGATGCTGAATAAGGGAGGCATAGAGTGAATTATTAGTTTTAGGTAGTTAACAATTAAGATCCCTTAGAGATCAAGGAATTTCAAAACATTCTTTATTATAATTAAGTTTCTAAAAATTAATGTTAAAAATATTATTGTTATGCATTTGTAGTATAGCAGCCAACAGAATACTAGGTGAATACTAATGATATATTTTGATACATTGCTATAATTAGAGCCACTAATTATATTCTGCAACTGTTTTTCATTTAACTAACCTAGAAAGTTCAATTTACCAAATCTGCATAGTAACATTACAGATTGACATTCACTTATATAATAAAGTAAATGTGTAATTATAATGGCATTATTGAATTATGCTGACAATATTATAATTCCCTAATTTCTAAATGGGTGGTACAATTTTGTAAGTCAGTTATTTAGAATTTGAAACATAGCTCCTAGAGAAACATTCTCACATATGGAAGTTACATTTTAACCAACAGCTCACAAATGTATAGTTACCCTAAAAATGTATCAGAAACAGTGGTTACTGATCACAAAAACAGAATAGTGCTGTAGACTGCTATAGCTAACAGTGTTATGGGAACTCGGGGTACATCTCCTCCTTTTAGTGCAGTCAGGGGGCCGAGGGGGATCTCCCATGAATGGGAGAGGGACCCCAATAACAAAAAGGGGTTGTTACTGGGAATGAGGAACTGAGATCAGGGAAACAGCTCTCCCAGCTGTGGTCTCCTGACTGGTTGAACCTCCCAGGAACCCTTATTCTCCTTTACTGACTCCCTGGCTGCCTCTTAAGTTATTTTCACCCATTGGGCTCTTTTGAATGATTTTTTGGTAAAATGGCTCTTCAGAACTTTATCCATATTTACCTGCACGGACAGTTTATGCATAGTAGTTAAGGCCTCAGATCATCTCACAGAAACCCCTTTAACTTTTGTCTCTGAAACATGTTCTCGCTGCCTTCAGACCTAGCCCCTCCAAGATACTTTCCAAGGCCAGGCTGCACCTCACTCGCTCTCCATACTTTTATTCCTTTTTATCCTTCTCTGTGTACAACTGTTAGCTCATTACCACTCTCACTAGGCCACCTATTTTCTACCAAGGTTTTCCTCTTTCTTCTTCTACTCTTCTGTGCCTCCAGGTAGGATTGTGAGTCTTTGGAGGGCAGAAGCGATGTCGGTAGGTGGCTATATAAAGGAGAAGGATTTACTTTTTTTTATTCCATTATTGCGATAGAAATGAAAGCATTCAGGATTCCTTACTATTATGGCAGTTCATAAGAGAAAAAACTTTATGATTTCTAAGAGTTTTCTATAACATTTTTCCCCCTGCCTGCCCCGTGACAGTTTCTGCAGTCTTATGCTTATCTATAGAACAGACATCAAATGTACTGAAAAGCTAATCTTTAAATGGCTACTGAAATATTCATGTATTTTGTTGTTTAGTTATTGAACATTTAGGAAAGACTTAAAGAGTTGGTTAAGATCTCAAAATGTGCTGACAAGAAAAGCATGAAATATATCTGTTCCTCCATGTGCTTCATACTATAAATTGTAGTAGGTTTGTAGTTTTGTAACACATACCTCTGCATTATTTACATTGCCTCTCATGTTGCTAAATGACTTATTTATATAACACACACATGCACATGTTTCAATTACCTTTGCATGGATTTGGAGTGGTTCTAAGAATGCTGAGTACCATGACAAATCAACTCTTCTACTTAAGACTCCATTTACTGCATTTTAAATCTCAGCCTTATGAAAGGCTTCCTTTGTGATGGTGGAGTCAATTGGATGATGGATCATAGCATTTCCCCCCTACATTCTACCACCTGATAGTAATATATTCTCAGGAAAGGCACACAGCCTCTCTGACCTCAGGTCTGTTTATTGGAGGTTCTTGTATATTTCCTGAGATTTCATCAAGCTCACAAATTATATATAATGCTATATAGATTAATAAATAATAAAAAAATAATTCTATCTGATAAAGAGGCAGGTAGTTGAGATAATAGGTCTGGCCTACTTTTTAACGGTTGTCTTAGCTCACTCATCTGCCAACATTGGGAAGATTATTTTGTTGTACTTTTTTTTTTTTTTTACTACTTTGCCTCCTCATCCTTTCCTCTTCAATTTCCTCTTATTGTGTGATATGATGTGTCTATATCAGATATTATAGGGTGAAATAATTTACAAATGTCTTCCAAGCCATTTCTTGCTGGAAGACCTCCAGCAAAGAATAAATCAGAGGCCTTATCCCTTCATTGACTGCCACATAGCTTTCATCTATGCATATGCAATCACTGTGCTACCCTCAAATGGAATATTTTGCTCCTAATTTTCATTTGAAATTCCTTTATTAGAGATTTAGCAATTTGAGGGTAGTCATAACTCAAGTTGATTTGAATCAGTTTAGTTTATTAGATATTGTTTCTTTCTGAAGTTCAAATACCGAAATTCCAAATACCTGTATAAACTTTTGTAGTGCTAATGGCTATCTGGTGGGCTCTTTTAGGAGATGTTCCTTTGCATCTGAATATAAGGGAAGCTTCAGATACAGGCCAGCCGATTGTGTTTTCACAGCCTGAAAGTGATGAGGTAAGTTATATTTGTAAATGTGTATTTTTATTTCTTTTTACAGAATATATACTTTTTGGTATATAGAAAAAAAGTTGAGAAGATCAAGTTTATCTGTTTGCAATGTGTATATTAAACAAAGATTAGTTAACTTATCCAAAGCATCTTTAAGTAACTATTTTATATGGTAGATATACCAGTGCTGGCTCTGATTTATCAACTGAACAAGTTCACCTACAAAGAATCATCACCCAGCCAGTTTTCTCATGAAGAACACAAACAATGAGAGTTTGTAAAGTTCTTATCTTGCTGGGTAGCAATATCTAACTGCCCAAGGTTATTATATTTCAGTATTAGAAGTTCAGCTGATTGTTGGGAGAAGGGACCAATCTACGAAAGTATTGAATTGGATGTAGGCAAATTGTATAATCCATTAGAGGTGGGATTTTCATTGCATTTATTTTAATAAATATGACTGGGGAGGTAAGGTGGCAAAACTAGTAGTATGTTATTAGCCGACATCTTTGGGAATACAGTTGATAGACTTTCAAGGTTGCTAAAGCTTTACGACTTTAAGCATAAAGTCTTTTATTTTACTCTTTTTAAATAGAAATAAGATTAATCATATATGTCTCTTCTTTCCTACGTAGCACTTGCTGTTAGAGTTAGAAACTAAGCCATCATCTGAGACGTCAGTTTTGGTGTAGTTTTTGTGCTCCTTTGCTGAACAGTCCCAATCAATCTTCTAATAGTTTTCCTTTTTTTTCCCCTTAGTTAATGGGTGTAACTTTACAGTACTGTTATTTAATCCATTTGTAACCACTACCCCTTTCATTCTAGTTTGCTTCCTCTAATCTTGTGTGGACTGGACAAAAAAAGAGCCAAGCTCGGTTAGAGCTGTGAGTAAAGTCAGAGTATGTCGACAGTTAGGAATCTTGGAGGAGTAGAGCAGATTCATTTTGAGCTCTCTCTTCCAGGGGCCCAGAGGTTCTTTCGCGTTCTTAAGAGTCTGCACCTATGGCACAGGTGCTTGAGTTGCTGGGAGTATGATCTCTGAGTAAATATAGTGTAGCATTTATCATTGTTTTACTTTTCTCTACCTTTTAGGTATTAAATGTCAAAATTCCTTTTCAGTCTTGTCTTAGAAATTCTTCAGATAAGCAAAAAACATAATCCTTTATTACTCATGATTAAAGTCTGGCAATCCTAACCACCATAGCTGGACTTGACTTTATGCAGTGAATGAAAAGTTGTATGAAAATTGTTTTTTCTTAATTACACACTGTTAAATTCCTCCCAAGAATAAAGACACTCTATGCTGATTCCTTATGAGTAAGAATAATTACTTACTAGTTTATTTCAATTATGATTTTAGATTTTTTAATATTTTTTTCCCACCTGTCCATTATTGCTTTTTTTCTTTGAGATTTTCCAGAAGCAAGGAACATTTCAAGGAAGTTAAAGGAATGTCATATAAAGGAGAACATATAGCAACCGTCAAGAGATAATATAATTTTAAACTCTAAACAGCAGTGCTCGTGGAGTTTTGGGAGTGATATTCTTTTAATCTCATTTACATTTGTATAAACATTAGACCTATTTTACTGTTGCTAAGTGACATGTATGAGAATGTGAACAACTTAACCTTTTGTGGTTTGCGCTCGGTTTGATTTGGTGCGGTCTCTGCAAAAATGGTGAGAATTTCACATACCACATCGTCAACCTTAAATATGAAGACTTCTGAACAGTTTTAAGATTTAGACATGGTCATGAAAAGGAAAAAAATTGGTGCTTTATATTTATTTTGTTTTCATAGATGTTATTATTTCCTACTCTTAGATTGCAGACATTCATCATTATTAATCATCTTCCTAAGCATAATAGCAATTAAAGTAAGCCAGACGCTGTTAGGCATTTTGTTTACATAATTTCTATGCTCCCAACAACTTAATGCAAGATGTGAATAGTTCCCATTTTGCAGATGAAGAAACTGAGGTTCAAGAAATTAAATAATTTTCCTAGGGTTACACAACTAATAAATGATAAGATGTCATTAAAAGACAAGTCTGTTCCTTATTTACAGTAAGGAACTTGTCCAAGATAATACTAGAGGCCATGTCCACACCTGCTCTGACACCATAGTCCATACAATCTCTTGCCAACACAGTACCTGCTTGCCTTCAAAATTAACTACAAGATTAGTTCAGCGTCTGTCTGTTGTGTATATTGAGGCTAGCTTTCAGTTCACCTGCTTTTCCTGTCACAGACATCTAGAGAAGAGAGTGAGCAAACTCTGCCCCTCACGTCCCATTGGCATGCACAACAGCAGGGCCTAACATAGGGGATCTTAACCTGAGAATCCCCTGAAGTTATATCCAGATGTATGAATGTGTCTTTTTCTGGGGAATTGGACAACAGCTTTATCAGGTTTTCAAAGGGGTCTCTTTGTGGAAGGAAAAGCATAAATCTGTATCAGCTTGGGGTTTCATTACCAAGACTGCCACTTTCTAAGAGTGACCTTAGGCAAATTCCCTGATGTCTCTGAACCTTTCTCTCCATCTGTAAATTGATGTCATAATGAGGAGGATTAAATGAGATGACGATGTGAAAATACTTTGAAAAATGCCAAGTAGAATACAACTGTGAGTATTTATTACCTTCTGAAATTTCCTATATGAGATGTAGTGGCACTAAATGTCTTTCCTCTTCCCTTTATCAAAAGGTTGAGTCTCTTTGTGCCCTTCTCCTTACATAGCATCAAGTAAATGTCACTCTTTGATGGCATTTAAAAATCAGAGTAGCAGAATTTGGATCATGAGGTGAGAGCAGAGCTCTCAGCTTCAACATTAAAGGTATTAAGTCCTGCATGTGAGGAAGTTGTTCTTGAGTCGTGGAATTGGGATCTTCCTGGCTGTGCTTGTGATGAGCCTCCCCTCCTGACGACCCCCTTGCCTTTCCCTGTGAGCTCAAGTGGAGCTGTGGCCTCGGGAGCTGGTCCCAGCCCTGTCGACAGCTTCTCTTATATTCATGGGAGCTTAATGCCCCTTCTGCATGCATGTCTTCGTCTAGAGAATGAAGGGGGTGTTTACTTGCCAACATGATAAACTTCTGCAAAAGTTAGTGGGACAGAACCTATAAAATTTTTTGTTAATCATTAACTCCTTAGATTGACACTTTTTGTTGTTTGCTTTTAGGGGTCGACCTACAGGTAGAATCATTAATCAGTTCAAGTTGCATCTTTAGTTTTTTGTTTTTTCTGGTTTTTAGCTTTTTCTCACTCCACCTTCTCTTCTCCATCTTCCATCACTCCCTCCTCCCAACACCATTCTCTACCCATAAAATCTTTTAAAATTAGGCATTGGGGATTTAATGCTCCCAGTCACGTTTAACTTTCAGAAGAGGCAAATACTGAAGAGACAGTGATTGTTTAAAGGTATGAATTGTGCCGAATGTGAGGCGTCGTTGGGAAAGTTGGGACGGATTACAGTCCCAGTTAAAACACGCCAGCAAGCTGCTGCCTGCGTGGCCATTGGGCCAAACCTTTTGCACATGTGCACCCTTAGCAAAGGGGAGGAATGGAAACCCCAAATAGAAATAGGGCAAAATAGCCGGAGAATCCACCAGAGGAAAGGCGAGAAAGCAGACGCTCAGGACTTAGAACTCTTAAATTCAGTAGCTTTTCCTCGTGTTTGTCTGATTATAATTGTTAATTCAACTCTGTCTACCTTTTGCTTTTGATTAAATCCAGGACACAAATAATGGACCCATGATTGACTGATAATTTTGTGGTTTCATCCTTTTTATCAAAAATCTTAATATTGACATACAGAAAGGTGTGCTATAAGATATTCCTGGTAAAGACTTTCACATATAAGTGGAAACTTTATTATCTTTTAATTTCTAAATTATTACCTCATAGCCTTGATATGAAATGACTGTGTATGATAAATTCGAATTTCAAATCTTTAAAAACAAAGGAAAAAAGCTCTCCATAAAACTTCTTGCACTTTCATTGCCGTCCATTTCCTTTTCCTTGTTAATGACAAAGCAGACAAGTAGGCTCCAGCTGTATTTTCTGTGCCTCTGGATGGCCCAGGAAACGATCTTGAATAGGAGAGAGGGTTAGTCTGTGTAGAGTTGAGCTGATGAAAGAGGAGAGTATTCATAGTTTGAGAAATCCGAATCATAATTTTTACATGTGATGTGTGTGTGTTGCCTTTTTGCTAGTTATGGACTAAACAAAAGGGAGACATTTAATTTACTTATCCCTCAGGTGGGAGAAGTGCCCAAAAGTTAATTTGTATGACCTTTTCACTGAAATTGCACATTACTTGAGGACACAATAGTAATAATAGCAGCCACTAATATTTATTATTTACTTCTTTTGTGCCAGCACTTCACATACTTTATTCTTACTTAACACTCCCCCAAACCTTTTGAGGTAGGTACTATTAGTATAACCATTTTGCAGTTATGGAAACTGGGCCCAGAAGTGTTAAGTAACTTACCCAAGGCCTCACAGCTGATAAGTAATAGAGCTAAGATTTTAAACCATGCCTGTCTGACTTCAGGGCCGCACTCTTCACCAGTGGGCTATTTTCCTTCCGTTTTATATCATTACATCCCACAGATTTCCCAAAACAATGCCTTGCACACAAGAAGAACCAAAACATATTTGTTGAAATGATACTTCATTGGCTGAAAAAATTCAATCTCAACAGTTTTGTAGGAATTGAAACTGTTAATCTAAGCACTTTTAGTGGTTTCTCAGCAAATGACAATCTAACCATTACTTTGAGTGTGATAGACTGAAAGTTTAAGCTTGGAAATAGTCCATTAAAAAGCAAAAGTTAAATGCAGCAAATTTGATTATTCTGCAGTCATTTAGTATTTTTGTGTAGTCTGATAGCTGTATGTCTCTAATTTAACACAAGAACTAAAAGATTATAGAATGATGACCTTGTCTCAGCTTTCCTTAGTGAACTTTAACTTTTCACCCCAAAGTATTAGGCTTAAATACC